GTGTCCTGTTTGCCTATTTCTATCAACATCTGCTCTGTAATACACAGAGAATGGTAGAAGATCAAAGTTTTAATTGTGCAAGTGAAAGAACGTATTAATAACATTCTTTCTGTCCTACAGCAACAGAGATAAACTTAAAAAAAGCCCTCTAACAGCTACGAGAACAGGATATTTATATAAAGATGTCCTAACAAAAGAAAAGCATGCAAAACTACCTCTAGTGGATAAACAAACTAGGCTCCCTGTTTGCAGACTGTTCCCTATCAAGCTCAGCCCTCAGAGATCCCCTCCCTCCTTCAGTCAACAGGGTCAACATATCTCAGCTGGGTTTCACATTTTTATACAAAACCTTCTCAGCATCCTTTGTTCACTGACCCTTTAAATTTAGGAAAATGCAGCAGGTGTGCCTTTAAGGCCCATTTTGCCGCTAGTTGCTTTAGATTCCCTCTGCCAGGTATTAAGTCATTTAAGAAGGGATTTTTTGTTGGTCTTTTTTCTGCTAGCTCCTTCATCTGCATAGGCTGCACTGCGTATCCTCCATACCCCTTTTGATACACACATTATAACAGGACACTAGTTCTGCAGCATACATACAACAAACAGTACCTCCTCCTTAGGAGGCGTTATTACTTCTTGGGTTTGAGATTGGGAAGAGCCTAAATTTGTTGCCTATTTATCACACTGCTGCCACTCATTAATGCAACAGCACACTTTGAACTAGCTGTCCTCCTCCCCAAAATTAATATAGCATGGAGTGCTTTCTCCCTCCCAAGACAGCAGTAGCTGCCTTTATCCACTTAAGGCTCTGACTTGCATACACTGAAGGGAAAAAAAAACAAACAAAAAATCTCAAACCAACCCACAACTGTACTAATGTAAAAAACTAGGACTCCCAAAAGTGATGACTAGGCTATCTCACTGAAAGTATGATCAATAGCATGCTGTACAAGAGTGGGTTCAGATTTATCAGTAGTTTTCTTTAAAATTCAGAGCTCTGAGATGAGTTCTGAAACAACATTGTCAAGTAAAGCATCATTACCACCTCTACCTGAATGGAGGCCTCCACAAGCAGATAGCCTGAATTGCCTCACAAAAGTCTAAGAGGCAACACAGAGGACAAGCTTACTCAGGGCTACCTGCACAGCAAAGACTGACATCTGAAAGCGATTCTCAGTCTCCTTTCAAGACATCTGTGAATTATAAAGAGCCAGTCATCCTCCATCCCCTTTGTCTTTAAGGAAGAGTTTAATATTAATTTTAGCTCCTTTCGAATCTACTTCTGGGCTAGGTCCCGGTCCATCTGCAATATTTTTAGAAGTGACAGATTAAAAACACACAGAACACCCACTCAGGACTCACTCAGTTCTTCCAAACTACGGTAACTCAAGACAGAAGGGACACTACGGTTAACCGTGGCACTGCTTGTGCAAAGCTGCAACCTGCACAGAGACACGCAGAGGGTGAAGTAACTCACTGTACAGTGAGCTATTGTACACAGGGAAACTGGACAAGGCACTTCCTTTTCTTTTGTGTTGTCCTCTCATTCATAACAACGTCCTTTAAGACATCTGCTAGAGTCCTGTAACATTAATGGAAAAGCTCCAACAGGAACTCAAGGGTTTCTCTCTTTTTCCCATGAACTGAACATTATGGAATTTTAACAGATGTTCTACTTGGTCATAGTTAATAAAATGAATTATGCAGGAATTAAAAAATCTGGCTCCATTTGCTTATATAAGATCTCAGCAGCAGAACTACATTCCCATTAAGACATTCTAGAAGATTTACAGTGCATTTATAGTCTGCTCCTGCCTTGTTATAAGATGGCTGGAGATTTTACAAATGAGCTTGTCTCTGTTGTGGAAAACATGAATAAATTTACCTGTTCATTGACTGTTCTTAGTAGCATGATCCAGTTTCCACACCGATGCACACCGGTACACTACAACCATAGGAAAGGACAATTCTCACTTGGATTTGCTTTGGAAATGACATCAATGGGAATTCCACATCGTTTCACAGCCTCTGATTTCTGCCATTTATTCAAAGTCTCATTCAGCAACCTAATAACCATACTCCCACTTTGTGCTTTATCACAAAAGCTTTCCTCTTGGAGCACGGATGTCTCTTTTGAGCTACTACTGCCAACAGAATGATGCAGCGTACCTCACTTCCCTTTTGATTTTAGAGTTAGTTCAGTGTAACTACATCAAAGGAAGATGTAGAGACCAAAATGTAATGGAGATGTGAGAGAAAGGCACCAAAAAGGAGTTAGGTGAAAGAGTCATAGCCAAAACTTCCAAGCATTGAGGTTCACTCAAAGTTATTTCCAAAAGCATTACATATTTAGCCATCTTCTTTCTCTTCTAATATTCATCTGTACAGAAAGTATTCTGATGAGAAGATAAAGGGGATAAGTGAAAGAGTGAGAATCAAAAATGAAGAATGAAACAACTACCCTGCACCAGAACAGAAGCAGCACAGGAGCTAATGCAAATTACACGGAGCAGAATAAGGGTGTCTTGAAAAGATCTACTGTGCTACAGTAAAAAGACGAGGTTTTAACATCGCACTGCCTTTATAAACAATCAGACTCATTTTCACTTAAGTCCAAGCAATTGGCAAGCAGATCTCTGTCCAGGCACTGAAGTCTGCTTTATGTAATACACAAAATTTTATCCCGATGCAACAACTAAAATTAGCCTTTCTTAAATTCTGGTTCAAGACTTTTGCCAGTGCAAGAATACCATCATCTGAAAAGTATCAATATTCCCAGCCTCTTCCAATTATTTTTTTTTTTTAATGAAAAATCATGCACTGAAACCCCTCTATCCAAAAATCCCACTCCACTGAAACTAAACAAAAGGTTTTGTGGAAGTAAAGAACCAAAGCATGTAAACAAACTCTGCAAGTATAAAAGTCAGCTGTAATTAAATACCAGTCTATATATGCTATGCAGCTACCTGGATGTGTCCAATAATGAATTAATATAGATTTTTATCTGAAAAGAAAGACTTTCCCTAAAGGAAGAAGTGTACTTAAAGAGAAGGGAAAATACCAAGATTAAATGTCAGGCTTACAACAGTTCCAGCTGAAGGTTCAATATGCTGTTCTTACTCGAGTGGATGTTGCTTTACAAGATTTAGTGTCAGAAAAATGCAACGGTCTTAACAGTTGGTTTTTTTTTTTTTAAACATCACCTATGATTTGTTTCATTTTGAAGAGAAAGCACATTTCATTTGGTAATCATTTATTTCTCATTCTATTGGACAGATTCTCCCAAAAAGCAATACTTCAACTGAAATCAGTTCTGAGGGATCTTTTATGAATATACATAATGGAGAGGACCCCCATTAAATTTCCAACAAAGTGCTGCCATTTTGAGTAAACAAAGTTATCTCAGCAGGGTCACACAATATGCCATAAATATGGTCTGCAAATTAATTACCACCCTGACATATGTCAAAACTAATTTTAAGGAGAATAGCACCCAGTAGTAACCATGTGTTTTATCTACCTGTTAGTATGCAAAATCTGTATTCAATGGGATCTAAATTTATTCATTTATTCAGAACCCCTCAGAGAAATCAAAATAATTTGTTGGCCTTTTTTGCCTGTCTCCAAATGAAATCTGAGTGAATAACATGTGTTTAGTGAGCCAGAAAATAAGTACAGGACGAAGCTATCGTGGGGGGTTACGTTTCAGAAAAGCAGGTGTCATCTCTGCACAAATAACTAATTTTTTTAACACTCAAAACTGCTAAAATAGACTGCAGTACATTATCATTTTCCAGCACTTTAAGGAACACTAAATTTGGTATTTCTTATTTTAGGTAATATCCATCTTTATTCCATAATTGTAACAAGACCTGGCTAACATAACTGTCCTAAAAACAGTTTTCAGCATGAAGAAAGGCTTTTAAAAGCAGAGCTACTGAACGAAGGCTTAAAAAGCCTCTGCAACTGGCTTTATTATGAATGGCAACACAGCCAACAGATCTGATCCTGCATTCAAAAAACAAAAGAAGCGAAGATCCAAACCTAGTTTACTCAGTTGAGTTATGTAAGGAGAGGACAAATCCACACGTACCACACTGAACACAGTAAGTAAAGAACCCTTCCTGGACAATAGCTGTTATGTTTTCATAGGAATTGAGCCTCATCTCTTTATTTGAGGTGCTCATGGTGCAACTTCTGCTTTGTCAAAAGATGACCTCCTGGGATCTGATTCTGAAACAGTTTTAGACTGGGAGTTCATCAGTATGTTTTTCTACTTCTTTTATAATCTGCCTTTAGTTCATACAGCATATCAAACACTTCCATGACACTAAACCTGTAATTCACAGTACATTTATGAAGAGATTTTAGTTTAGGAACTACTTTCTGCCAAGCAGGCCAAAATATTTTTAGCTCCAGTTTTTTTCCAACCGTGAAGTACTTCTGATTCAGAGTTAAGTAATGCCATATCACATCTACGGACTGGATGACTAACTGCATTTCTTTCACACATTTAAAAAAAAAAATGGAGCACAATTCTCCCTATATACAGATGACAGATAATCTCTTGGCATCTGCTGAAAAATATATTTAAAGAAAGCCTAAATCTGTCTGTGCCAAACTTGGCCTGATGCCACCAGTTCACCATTGTTGGCATACATACCTCACATGATGCAATCACAAGACTTGAGGAAGTTTCCAGTACTTTATTTTATGGTTTTCATCATGTTAACTTATACATTTCCATCCTTTTATAATTTAGCAGCAACAGAACTGAGAGACAGGATGGTAGATGACTTTTTGCATGTATCACAGGTTTTCTTAGTGCACATTATCAGTATTCTATTTAAATCACAGACTAGTAACTTATCTAGAATGAAATACACTAGGATTTAGAGCTTACTGTTACAGCAATTGATCTCAATTGTACTACTCTCTCTTCTTAGAAAACAAAGTGAGGCAAAGGAATCAATTTTAGAAAAAGAGAAAGACAAGTGTTTTACCTCTCTTAATACTGTGCTTTTATAACCCCGATAAAGTCCTTGAATACCCTGTAAACCAACAAAAGAAAGCATCAGCTATATGGAATTAGTTTGCTAAAGACCACAATTTATCAGTGACTACGAGGCAAGCGTTACAGCCTTACTGTCAGACCTGAACTTCTTGCAAATTGACTATATTGATTATAACATTGTATACTGTATTCCATGATTTACAATGCCAGAGGGTTTTATGTTCATTTCAAAGATCATTTAACCACTGTTCAGAATAATCAGTTACAGAGAAGAAAATATACCTTACAGTTAAAATTAAAAGGGCAAGAAGGCACAGAAACACATTACTTCAAATTCTACTTGCCCAATATTTTGGTGTAGAAGTATCCACTATCCCATAAATATTTTGAAACTACTACTCTTCCGTTTAAATAGCCCATGCAAAATGAATCCAAAGGATGAGAGCTTCCTATGTCCACCTTCTTAGCCTTGATTCAGAGCTTTTATCAAGACAAATATTTTGTATTTTTAACCAGCTGATAACATTCAAAACAATTAATATTTTATAAGTGTATATAAAATTATGTTTAATATCTTATAGGACAGTTTATTTCACTGTTTAGCCAGTCTTATGGTTCTCTGGCCAGCTACAAAGAAGGGGAAAAACATACAGTTTTGAGAGCACCGACTTTTAGAGCAGAATGACCAAGTCACAAAAAGAAGTTCCAGTGACCCTCTTGTGCAGGATTATCACAATAGTTTTCATTTACAAGCAAATAAAAATCAAGTGGATCATTTAAAGGTCATATTTGTGTCTTCATTTTCCTGGCTTTTACACACAGAAATGTGTGTAATATTTTTCCCCACAGTGTTTTCAAAAGTCACTTTCTCTTATGGAATACAACTTGAAAAACGCCCCTTGTGAGACTCAGTAAAAACAGTGGTGAACAGGTTTTTTTTACAGGAAGGAACAGTATAACTACTGAAAAGATGACAAAAGCCCTTATTTTTCAAAAGTTACTAGTACTGGATAAGCACTCATTTCCAGAGCTCTTACAGAGCCTCTCTGAAATGGTGCCTTTAGGACATCCCCTCCAAAGCCTGCTTCAAAAACTGGAAATCACTCGGCAAACTCTAGATACAGAAAGTCAAATGTTCTTGTTGTCCCAGACAAGGACTGTTTACAAGCAGAGCTTTGGAAACTGGAAAGCTAAATACCTCTTTTTTTTTTTTAATGTAGGTACCCCATATAAAAAGAGGAAGAAAAAGAGTTGTTTAGATTGTGCATGTAAGTGCATGCACACGAGGGAGGTGGGGGTTTGGTTTCCTTAAACACAACATGCCCATTGCTTTTAACAACAGAAGAATAGACAGGAAAGTGCTAGAAGAGCACAGAACTGGAATAAAGTTGCA